GAGCATGTTTTGATGGGACGGGGATTCGAACCCGCGACCTTCAGATTGCGACTCAAGCGCCCTAACCACCTGGCCATGCCAGACCCTGAAAGAGAAACTCCAACGGTTCGATACTGAACATTCTTATGCTTAAATCTGCATTGAAGCAAACTGCACGAACAATCTCAAAAAGTTCTGTATCACAAAATTTGGTACATTATATACAGAATACATGATACACCCGAATATCACACTAAGAAACCGTTTTTGGGGCATTCTTTCTTCCTTGTTTTTAAGTAAAAAGCTCCTTTGAATCCAACATGGTTTTTTCGACGTAGTAAAGACTAATTAACACCAAGTATGCGAGTTGATGAGACCGAATTCGGGGTATTAGGTGGGCTACAGGGTAGTGTCCCGGTTTCTGGTATTCAAGCTAGTGTCAAAAATATGTATTCGTTAATTAAAGGACTCGACCAATTGTCTTCAAAAACCACACTGTACTGACAAAAAAACAACAACTAATATCTCAATAGTGTTCAGTCAAGAATACGCGATGCGGGGTTTAGGGAAGTGGCCAGAAAATAACAGAAATGTTCATATTGTGTAGGTTCTGCATTTAGCAATCTTACAGTGACATGTAAGCTTTCGTTGTGCCTTTCTTTCAATTCAGATTCTGGATATCACAAGGAGTTTAAATCTTTATTCGGGATAAAAGAAAGAGAGTACCAGAAATTTTTTATTGAGAATTAACCCTGACTCCACAATGGCTGTTAAAGTATATCTTATAAATTTTTCTGAGCTTCGGGAAGGTTTGTATTAAATATTCTGATGCTAGGAAAAGCGTGTGTAATGGAATGCAAATTATCATTTTTCAATGCCCGTTTCTGTAAAGAATTTTAATTGATTTATAAGGATTTAGCTTAAATTTTCTTCCAAATTTTGTTTTTGCGCATTTCCGCTAAATTTAATCGCACAGTGATTATTATAACAAGAAATTCGGAGAAATATTCTTTTTATATTATATTATATCCTTCACTTTAAAGTAGGCTCGTAGGAGACAAGCCACTTCATTGGATTGCAACCACAGACTTGGATTTCACCCGTACAATACTCATAAACTTGAGTTTCACTGTTTAAGTCCCATACGTACAGTTTCTCAATATGGTTTCGGCAATTATTTGACCAATGGTAGCAATAAAAGCTAGGTCATCCGAAAAAAAAAAGGTTTCTTCATATTAATGAGAGCATTTACACAGCCCGGCATGGCCAGGTGGTTAGGGCGCTCGACTCGCAATCCGAGGGTCGGGGGTTCGAATCCCCGTCACACCATAACGCCCCCACGGCTAAAAGGGCGAGCATGTTTAATGTGACGGTCAATCCCACTATTCGTTGGTAAAGGAGTAGCTCAAGAGCTTGCCAGGCTTATATACTAAAGAAGAGGGCGTCTCGAACGCACTAGGAAATTCATGATCCTTCGAGAAACTCCTCGCACACGCCAGCAGCGTCACGTGACTTCCGCTGTCGTAACAATACCTATGACATCCAACATATCTAAAATTCTCTGAACAGTTCTTCAACCATTTTTTCATGATAACACAAAATATATTAGCTATAAGTGCTATATAAGTGCTAATTTTTAGACCAATTTTTTATCACAGATACTGTCAAATTTGAAACGAAGTTTCTTAGTTTCAAAATTTAATAACTCAAAAACCGATATTGTTAATACTTTTATAGTTGTATAATTTTGAAAAAACAAATGTATTGCCGTTTGAATTACTTCCTGCAAAGGAGTATTGGTTTACGTGGACTCAGTATCAAAACTTCACGATAAGCTTGTTCACCAAATCATAAAACTGCCGGGTGCTACTATACCGTGTGGTCTACCCAGATACTATCATTATCACCGTTTTAATGATTCACTAAAACATAATTTCTTGTTAAATAAGTTATATCTATCCACGTTTTTGTGTTCAGCAAATAATAATAATTTAATAAGTTGTGTGTTCCAAAACAGTACCTTAAATTTAGGTTATAATTGTGCTAGTTTTGATTGTTGGAATTTATTTCATTCCGATTATATTTGCTCCCAGAACATTATGTAATGGTATTTTGTACTTTATTAGTTTAAAAGCATTATTTATAATATATGGCACCAATTGCAAATAAACGAAAGTTAAAAAGATGATGATGATAGTATCTGTGTAGACCACACGCTGTATTGTATCATATCTTTGTAAACCGCCACCCCCCAGTGGCACAGCGGTATGTTTGCAGGTTTACAACGCAAGAATCCGGGTTTCGATACCCGTGGTGGACAGAGCACAGATAGCCCATTGTGTAGCTTTGTGCTTAATTACAAACAAACAAACAAACTTTGTAGACCGCACGCTATAGTAGCACCAACTGCCGTTTGTTTAGGGATCTAAAATTTGTAAATAATATGTAGTTCCAAAAACGAACAAGATGTTAGGATCACAGAAACCTAAGCTTAGCCGTCAAGAAGCTGAAAACAATACTTTAGCTAAAAACTGTTCCAACTAATAGCTTTCAATATTCTTTTAAGTAAAAACTGTTTAAAGGCATTTTACAGTAACTTTTCAACAAGTGATTACGTGAAAACTATTCGAAGGTATTTCACAGTCACCTTTTAATTATGTTTTAAATAAAAACTTTTTAAGGTAATTTCACAGTATATTTTGAACAGCCCATTAATAAATAGTTCTCAGTGTAATTCATAAGAACTTTCAACAATCTTTTATTGTTTTCATATATATCTTATTTTAGTACGTCCTGGGATAATATATATATATTTAGGTGAATATTAACACAGATGAATCTCACAGAAAAATCCTATTTCCATATTTTTAGTTTGAACTAAACATTCCCAGTTTGCTCTTGAATAAGAAAGACTCGCCTTTCGAAAGTGCTCGGGTTATAAGATATCGTATTTTTGTGTTAAATTTCTTTCTTGAACCTACGTGTTTTCATGACATCATGAATATAGTTTGCACTGTATATGGTTTTTACTCTTGCCACAATATAACAGATTGCTAATAAGTTTAACATCTGCCACACGAGCCAGCCCGGCATCTTGATTGGATCTAAAAATAATGAGTCATTCTGATTCTGGAAAAGTTTGGATTGTTTTGATTAGACAAAAAGAAGACGTTTGGCACTATTTTCGAGGTCTAGGTCGCTGAATCAGATCCGAGACCACGAGGGCTAACATGGAGAAGTTAACTTGTAAATATAAAATAAAACAATGTAGCAATGAAACATGTTTGAAATGTTCTAGATATGGTTGTAAATGTGATGGTTTAAGTGCAGCGATTAAGCTAAACCGTGGGTCCAGGTCGGATGAGGGAAGAACTAATTCGAAGATATCCTAATAGATTTGACATACCAGCTGAATCGGAGATTCGTCAGTTAATTTCTGCACTGCCAGCGAAACATAAAATAACTGGCATAATAGTATCGTTCTCGTCGAAAGGGGGAGGGGATCGGAATGATATATAATAAATCATTAGTTTCCATATTTTGTGGTACTAACGGTGCAGTAAAACCTAAAGATGCTGTGTTAAATTTGAAGCAGATGAATTACAAGATAATTTCCCTAGCGTAATGCCATTTCTGCAATGAAGGGTAAATATAAGAAAGATGGTATAATACCCAGTTTGGTACCACCATAGTATAATCCATATAGATTTGGGGCCCGGCATGGCCAGGTGGATAAGTCGCTCGACTCACAATCTGAGGGTCGCGGGTTCGAATCCGCATACCACCAAACATGCTCGCCTTTTTAGCCGTGGGGGCGTTATAATGTGACGGTCAAGCCCACTATTCGTTGGTAAAAGAGTAGCCCAAGAGTTGGCGGTGGGTGGTGATGACTAGCTGCCTTCCCTCTAGTCTTACACTGCTAAATTAGGGACGGCTAGCGCAGATAGCCCTCGTGTAGCTTTGCGCGAAATTCCAAAACAAACAAACAAACCATATAGATTTCACCATGTCATATTTTCATTAATACTTAATTTATTTTTTCGTTTTAGAAGTTGCTTGTTTGTATGTTTGAAGTTAAGCACAAAACAACACAATGGCTATCTGTGCTCTGCACGGGTATCGAATCCCGCATTCTAGCATTGTAAGTCCGCAAACATACCGCTGTGCCTCTGGGGGCCTTTAGAAGTTACACCGAGCTTAGTTCATCGAGATCTATCGAAATAATCCTAAATCACCAGTATCCAGAATGTCTTCCCCTCTCACCCCACACACATACACGTTGATCAATCTATGTTCCGTACTCAAATATGCTGATTTGGCTCGTGTGGCAGTTGTTAATAACACCTCAATGAAAAATATAAATTCAAACTATAAGTTTTAGTGCGTATAAACTACTGTTGACTTGTTCAAATACAAAAATAAACAAATAAAATCAGAGAGTTATGTGGCTATTTTTAATTTCACAACGTCCTATTGACATAGGGAATGCTTTCTAGGACAGGTGTTGAAAGTATAAACTTGTGTATGATATTGTATCGACTTCCTTGGTATAATTTGGCATTTAACTGCCTCAAATATTATAACAAAATGCGTTATTTAAGTTTTACAAAATATTTGGCATAAATCTTTTTTTTCTTTCTTTGCTGATAGGTATTTTTATGTTTGTTGATTTTCGTGCAACACCCTTTGCCGCCCAAGTAACAGTCTAGATGGAAAACGGATAGTCAACATCACCCATCGTCAACTATTGGGCTACTCTAATCAAAAAGTGGGATTGACTGCACATTATAACGCGCCCACGGCTGAAAGGGAAAACATGTCCAGTGGTTGCCGATTGCGAGTTAAGCCGCCTAACCAGTAGGCCATACCACGCTTCCAATTTTTTTAAATATAGTCAACTATGTAAAACATACTCATTTTTTTCTGTTTTTCATTACTATATTTTGTATTTCATCAAATTATTAAGTACATAAAAATTCTATGCACGTGCTAATTCTTGCCATAGACTAACTGGAAACAAAATTTTTGTTAAAATATTGCCAAAAGGTTAATGCGAATACTGCACGAAATCTATTAAACACTGCCCACGCAGAACAATAAAGTTATTTATTTAATTTCAGGATGTAAGATTAAACGGGCATTCCTCAATAACGCATTTCATAATTTAATAAACCAGCACAGGTGTAAAACTAGAGGGGCATTCAGTAGAGCGCATACCTACGCCACGCAGCGTTGATCATATTCGGCTCTCAAAAAATATGAAAATGTGTCCGTATGTCTATCGTTATCAACGGACGCGGATAATTTTTGGCAGAACAATGAGAAATAATATTCTATATAAGTCCACCGAGTTATAAAGCAAAAGTAGTGTGAAAAATCGGTCCCCCTGTTAACAGATCTTTTGGATTTTCGCAACTTGGACCTCCAAAAACTAATCACTTCTAAGTTGGGTCATAGTCCAAATGTATATCAAATTTCGTCCAAATCCATTTTCGAGAAATCTTGCTGACAAAAACTCAAACACACACACAGAGAGGTGAAAAGATAACCTCCATCCGCCTATGGTGGTGGAGATAAGTATAATATTTCATTCAGTTTTTGTAGGGATATTTTAGCATATGTTGTGATAGTTAGTTACACTGATAATTAATTTTCTTCTTTATTTCTTAAAAGTAACGAATATTTTGATGGAAATGTTAGGGACAGAATTTGTTGGGAGCTTCTAATTAGATGTGTTTTTGTTTTTAGTAGAGAGAAAGCAAGAAAATATTGAAATAGACCATGTTTATGATAATGTGTTAATGCAAAATTTACTTATGGCTGTTAAACAACGTATTTTGTTAATATTTCAAGAAATGAAATAAAATAATTTTCAGATCTTACTGATTGTTTTATTTTACACTTTTTTCATGCTAGTTATCTTGTTGTTGTTTTAAATTATTCTACACATTTGACACAATTTCACGGTATATCTGATAATACATTTTTTACACAAATGAGTATCATTTAGCTTAACTTTCAAAAAGAGGCGTTACCTGTATATTCTTTAGATTATCTTAGAAATGGTAACTCACTGACCACTTTGTAGACGTTGGTATTTATTGTATTTGTTTTCAAGAACGGTAATATTCTGGCACTTTGAAGTCATTTAATTATTCTCTTCTAAAAGAAATCAACAAAGTCTGGCGAATGTCTTTTTTTAAGGTTTCACTTGGTTGTTTTCAGATAAAAAGTTGTTGAAATCGTGATTATTTTCAAATGTATCATTTACACATTATATCAATCTTTTTTTCCTTGGTGTCAACTTTAGAAAATTAGTGAATGATGTTGTAAAACCGCATGTTTATTGTTAAACATTCTAACAAATGGTTCTAATCGATACGTTACGAGAATAACCTTAAGCGTCCTCTGATGCCCACTTTTAAATTATGTGATAAGCATGAATGAAACACTTGTACGGTTTCATTGTTGTTAAGCGCAAAGCTACACAATAGGCTATCTATGCTCTTACCACTAAGGGTATTGAAACCTGTCTTAGCGTCGAAAGCTTACATATTTGCTGTTGAGGGTGTGGTGAATTGCAAAGAATTATCAAAACATTATAAACGTTACTATTTTTAACTTCAATGGGACAGATGTAAAGTGCTCTCACAAAACAAACTACGTAGTCGCAAATTTACTCTTTGTAAAGAGAATGGTTGATGTTAAAATGTTGCCTTCAATTTACAGGAAATGTTTAGTGAAACATCGATGTCTCAGATGAGTTGGTACTCACGAGTATTTTAATTTTTGAAGATTCACATAACATCTGGAAATCCAAAAATCTGCATATTAAACGCGTGTATTACAATAGTTCAACAAGTACAGTCTATACCAACAGTCCTCGAGAACAAATATTTTACCATTTCTGTAAAGTGTGTATAAAAGATAAGAGGTTACCTAGGTATCGAAACATAACATGATCCACTTTGTTAAAGCTTGCTTTCAGTTAGTGACATCTACAGGAATTTTTTTCAGCGGATTTTAAGATGTGTCCTTTAAAAAACAATTTAAACAACTCTATCAATAAGCCTTAGATTTTAAAATCATTTTGATGTAACGTTGGTACCAGATGAACGGAAGTGTCTCTTATCTTTTGTAGTTTTTCTCAATATCCGGGCGCAATTTATAGTTTTAAATGAAGATTGCTTGATTTGAATTTCGCGCAAAGCTACACAAGGGCTATCTGTGTTAGACGTCCCTAATTTAGCAGTGAAAGACTACGGGGAAGGCAGCTAGTCAACAACACCCACCGCCAATTCTTGGGCTACTCTTTAACCAACGAATAGTGGGATTGACCGTCATTATTATAGTGTCATCTCAGCTTAAAATGGTGAGCATGTTTGGCGGGATAGGGATGCGACTCGGCAAGTCAAGCGTCCTAAACACCTGGCCATGTATAATTAAGGAATATAGTAGTTCGGAACTTTTAGGCCTATGAACTGAATAAATTATTAAAAGTTCGATAAATTAACAGAAATCGACAAATTCTTCATGACAAACGTTTATGTGGAAAACTCTGAACTTCAAGAGCAGAATAAGGTAATGATCTTTTCTTTTTTTTTTTTTCAAGTACAAACTTTTAGCTCACAGCTCCGTCATCTCTTAATTGAATATATGATTACAGTTTTGGACTCAGGAGATCAAACCTTTTTGATTGATATATTTGACCACGCCCAATATCTCGTAGATTAATTTACTTTAATCCTGCCTAAAAGAATTTCAATTTAAGGGTAGACTAGTAGAGATCCTGAGGAGTAATAAAATCGAATCGGGTATATGCGTGCCCCACGCTTGATAATGCCGGCGCACAAAAATATAGCTAATAAAAAGGAATAAAAAAAAAGTCTCATAGATCAATTTACTCTAATCCTGCCTAAAAGAATCTCAAGTGCCGCGGCTATTGAGGGTTTCCTCTTGTTTTAATTTTTGGAGAGCAAAGATATTAGTTTTTTATAAAAAAAATAATTGATCTTATATATATATTTTTTTTTATCAGAATAGCACTTTAAAAATATAAACTATAAATTATTTTTAATGTCGGTAGAAGAAGATTTTTGAAAAATAAAAAGTAAAATAGAAGCATTTTCTGGCTTTTCTAGTGTTTAAAATATATGTAATTACCCAGTTTGGTAGATATATGTAGGTTTGTTTTTTAGATTTTTTTCCACAAATGATTTGAATATATTTTCAATTTATTGCAATCCTTATTTTTAATCAGTTTGTGTACATAACTTTATATATCTTCGATACATTTTACATGAAAAAAAAAGGTAAGTTCTGTGTGTGTCTGTGTGTATATATGGACAACCTACACAAGGAAGATCTGCAGTATTTAATTTCAAATCTATCATTCATAGTGAAGTAATATATCATAAAATAGCAGAAAATAATCTCAAAAATAAAATGAAAAGTAACAGAACATTCATTACATTAGACATGAAATAATATTTACGAATCAATAAGCATACAACGAGCAAAAACTACTCTACTTCCTAACCAAATATCTACAAGAGCTCCCTTAAATAACACAAATACGCTTCATAATGGATAAACGTGTAAAGTGGTCGGTTAATTTGTCCATAAGCTGCTTCTAATGGTCCGTTGATACATGACGACACTTCACGTGTCAACAGCGTCTCATAAAGAACACTATAGACTATCATCTCCACATTGTCAGTTCCTGTAATTCCAATCATTTGAGAGGAACACAGCAAGATGGAGTGTTGCAGAGGAAGATAGGGTCCTCTTCAGTTTTTTTTTATTATTATTTTTGCGAGGCCCTTTAGCTAAAGCACTGCCTATAAGATTCTGCTTTGGCGGAGAAAAATGTCTTGGTTAAGAGCACTGGATCAACTCTCAAACGTATCTTTTTTTGGTTCGTCTTCTACGTGGATGACCTAAAAGTAAAAGCGCCACAACCTAAATAAATATGTAATTAAAAATCAGTTAAAACAACTGCATTTTCTTGCCTTGAACCGGTTCTTGAATTCTTTATGTAAACACAAATGACAAAAACATTTAGTTATTAATTGCTGATTAAGGAATGATGTCGTCTTTAATCCCACCATTCCCTGGAAATATTTCAACAACATTGTGATTAAATATTGGTAATTATTTCTACTATTTTACTTACCAAAACTAATAATGTCTTCTGTATTAATATCTTTCGTAGTTTTTTTTTCCAAATTTAGATAGAAAACATTAAAGAATATAATGTGAAACTAGGCACAATTACTTCCTCTATCGATGTGCATATATAAACTTTGTTCATTGTTTTATAGCTATAAGAGGAAGTTTACAGCAGCATTTCTCATTCCAATGGATCGTCTGAATGTGTGAAAAGGTTGTGAACAGACTCTGAAAATAGATAATAGTCTATATATTTATTTAATAACTGTTTAGTAAGCCAGGTTTTTTGTTATTTTTTTGCACTAAAGCTATTTACTGGGTTGCAGCAGACCAGTGTTAACAAAGGGGTCCTGAAACAAAAGAAAGGTTCAAAACGATTGATCTAAATTGAACACTGAAAAGACAATAAAGAAAAGAACTCAACTAAATACATGGAAAAGACAAATACACATGACAGTATATGTGTATGTGTGTGTGTTATTTAGAAAAGCTAAAAATTAAAGAAGAGAATACATCGTAAGGAAGGATAGCATGAATTTTACGCAGCATATCCAAACCTCAGATGAAATAAATTATATGTAACTTCATGAGAGAGAAGAATAAAATGCATTCACAATACAAAAATCCAACACTGGGGCACAAATCATAAGGTGGGTCACCTTGTAATGTGTCCTAGTTTTTAGAGGTACTGGTGGAAGTAAGACCCAAATTGCATTGGGAGGGGGGGGGGGGGAAGTGCACGATTTATCCAATTTAACCTCAACTTTGCCAGCCTCACATGATTAAGAAAAAAATTGATTGAGCAGATATGGGTGCTCTAGCCCACAACGTCCCACATCTGTCACTGTCTGCATCCAAATTTGGGAATAAAGCAGCAAGAAATAATAGAATACATTACATCAATGGAGTAGACAGCAAAACTGTCCTTAAAGTTAGCATTCCAGCCTGCAATATGATGTTTGGACATAAAGGCAAGATGTTAAGATATTACTATACTAAGCCCAACCAATATTATTAGTATAGCTCCCATCCTGAACCCTTCCATGCTACTTCCTGGATCTTCAATGGTTCTAAGGAGATCCACCCAGTAGCAGGTCTTATATAGGGAAGGTGATATAACTACCACTACATTAATGCACCTGTACAAGATAGATATGAAATGTCCAATAAATAATTATAATTATTTCCCCTATGATGCACAATAAAAATAATTTCTAAAATTTATTGTTCGGAAAATAATTGGAAATTATTTATTGGACATTTTATATCTTGTACTGGTAGATTAATGTAGTGGTAGTTATATTATATTGGCGCAGCATATTTTTTCTCTTTCTCATGAACTTACATTTAATTATATATATGACTATTAATTTATGTTTTTATTATATTATATATATATATATTGTTTTATTATGAGGATTATGTTAGATTGTTAGTTCAGTGATTTGATTTAGAACTAACCGAAGTCTTCTTAGTGTGAGAAATTATTGGGATTACTGATAACAGCATAGGTACTAAACTGATGTATTCTGATCATTACAACTTTTATTTTATGTCTTTGCATACTTGTACTAAGAATGTTATATTAGCTACACGACTTACTGCGTTAATTTCTGTGATATGTAATTTTGAAGGTAACCCTTGAAACACATTTATAAAAGTTTAACATAAAGGTGACGTAATTTTCATACTTATGTTTTGTTTTTTAAACAGAGAATAATAAAACCCAAAATTCTTATCTACCATCTATCTTTTTAATATTTTGTTTAATTTTTGCCAATGCCTGAACAGAAGGATCTCTCATTTATCCAAAGAAGAAATTTATCATTCGTGTACAGAGTGTTGGTTTCAAGCATGGTCCTCAGGTGCGATATCAACTCAGTTTTACCTGTCTTTAAGATAACATCACTGTGTGAGTAAATATTACTGAGTACTTAGTTGTGTAAAGTTTCAGTCTATTTAGCCTGTTGATAAGCCTTAACAAGAAACTATTTGTTTGTTTGTTTTGAATTTTGCGCAAAGCTACACGAGGGCTATCTGCACTAGCTGTCCCCAATTTAGCAGTGTAAGACTAGAGGGAAGGCAGCTAGTCATCACCACCCATTGCCAATTCTTGGGCTACTCTTTTACCAATGAATAGTGGGATTGACCATCACATATTGCTCCCACGGCTGAAAGGGCAAGCATGTGACAGGGTTTCGAACCCATGACCTTCAGATTGCGAGTCGAGCGCCCTAACCACCTGGTCATGCCGGGCCTACAAGAAACAGTTAACATAAATTGTCCATGAGGGCGTACTGAATTTCTCTATATATTTTGTTTACTACTCTGAGAAGTCATTTGATTGTATGAATGGAATTCTGCTGATGATGCTAACTGTAGCTGTGAATATTTCAGCAAAATAAACTTACAGATTTTTTTTTTTATCATATCCATTCCTTGTCTGTGTGAGTTTTTGTCATGTCGTGTACACACGCTAGTACTGCTTATCCAGTTTATTATGACTAAGGCGACTTGCATCAAAAAGTATGTGTTTTCTAATTATCTATCTCTTTGGTTTTAGGAATAAAAAATAACTATTGTGAAAGTTAACTTGTTGACTTAAATGCGGCAGGCCTGTAAAATGTATTATTTTAAGAATTGCTTATGTTTGTGAATAATTCACACAATTAAGCTCTGTAAGGGTAGACTAGCACTATTGGAAGTAAACTAAAAATTACTTTTAGAATAAAGTTGTGTGAAATTTTGTTGTAAAGGGCCACTCTGCCTACACAGTCCAGTAAACTCTGATCATCACATTAAATTCTGATACTTATTAAAATCACAAAAATGATCAAGTCTGAAGATACAACATAAGTACCGTCTGTTTAAGAATGGATAGAACAGGCAAAATGTGCTTAGAAAGTTTTACATTCTCATAATGACCACATGAGACACTTACATAACTAATGATATATATATATATATATATATATATATATATATATATATATATAATATATAATTTTCCACACCTTATTGAATGCTTGCCCACTTTAATTTTTTGGTGTAACATATACACTTACACACATACACCAAGTCCTTCCCTAGATTACTACGTCAGGTGAGGATGATTAAGGAAAACATTTATCAAGTGTAAGAAATAAGATTGACTTGTAAAAATACTTACAATATTACATGTAAGGATATAGTTAAATGTTTAACAGGATACAGTAAGTTACATTGCAACAGTTTTTAAAAACCAAGCCAGGCCCAGATACTCAAGAGTGCTTGCTCAAAGTCACCACCAAGTAAGACTATTGATCAACCTACCACAACCAAATGTGTGAAAGAGGTTCCAGAGGCTACCACTAATCACAGATTGAAGATATCAAGAGGCCAAAACAAAGTTGTATAAATGTAGTGTGACAGACCAGCATCAGGAATAGAAATAGTAGAACAACCCACCACCCAAGAAAACTGACACATAACAGTAATACATACTTCTGTTACATTTCCTGCCATACCACCCTTTTTCACATTGGCAACGATTTCCTAAACAAATCCCATGTTTGCATCGCTGAGGGGTACAAGGCCCTGAAATTATATAAAAACAACTGAAAGATGAAAAAATATTTATCAAATGATGAGTATCCAAACGTATCAAATATAATATTAGCTAGTAATATATAAACCAAACAAGTTTCAGCTTGTGCTGACTACTAAAATTATTGTTGCAAGTCTCGTAACGATCCAGTTACCATTCCTTCTCTCTCTCTCTCTCTTCTTTTTTTTTTTTTAATACACATTTATTGTAACATAGTATTTGGCATTCACTCTTGTGCTTGTTATACATGCATGCCAATTTATGGTTTATATGATGTACCATCATACTGTTCATACATTTAAAATTCTCAAACTTTTTTTTTGTCTTCTGTATGTATAGTGTAATCAACAAAATTTAATCACCTACTTCAACGGTATTATAATTTAAAAGTTCTTGCCTTGTGTGAGAACAGTAATGAGACAAACTCATGAAGTGATATGACTAATTACTATTAAGACTAAAACTAACCTACAAAGTAATTATTATGAAGTTTGAGGCTAGCCTATGGCACAACTATTGTACTATGAAGCATGAGGTTACACTTATGAAATGACACATCCAGGGGTGAAATTTTTCTAGTACTCACTGGTACTAATTTGATCTGCTTTTTGCCTAACCTGCATGCCTTCCATTGTACTGACAGAAAGCAGACACGGCATGACTCGAAGAATCTAAACAATCATTAAATATTCTCCAAATAAGCCAATAAATGACCTAACAACATTAATTCTTGATGGTAACAAGTTCATGAGGGGGGAAATTATTTAGCAGCTTCGATATCAAATGTTATTAAACCAATTGGGTAGTCTCATCTGGCTGTGTGATCTGTATGGTTGGCCAAAAATGATAAACATATCCAAAAAGACAGGTTTTATTAGCTGATATGCTGTGATTGGTATCAGCCCCTGAAATTAGTGCAACTATTGTTGTTTTTTTTGTTTTCTTTTATCATTTAACAGAATGGGAAGTAAAAAAATAAATAAAAAAATCTGAGGTAAGTTTACAATTATGAAATTTTTAAGTTAGTTGCCTGTTTAATATATTTGTTTCTTTAGAATCATCAAAACAATGGTTCTTTGAATTTTCCTTTTTTGTTTGGTATACTACATTATAAATCATACATACGAGCAAAATACTTTGTTTCATGCACATATGACTACTGGCACTTTTTTTGGGAAGAATTGCACCCCTGGATGCCATCATTGTACTTTGAAAGCTGAGGCTTATGCAGTGATATTATTATTATTATACTAAGAAGACTGAGTCTTACCTATGAAGTGATGTGATTATTGTACCAAGAAGACTGGGACTTACCTATGAATTGACAAAATTATTGTACCAAGAAGACAGAGACTTACCTATGAAGTAATGTAAGAATTGTAATATGAATATTGGGGCTTACATATGAAGTGACATCACAATTACACATTGAATACTAACACTATGAAATGATATGTCTAATATTTTAACAATACTTACTTAAAAAGTAACAAAGTAACATAATTATTAAAGTATGAACGGTGAAAGTAAAATAAAATGACATCAAATTTGCACTATGAATGCTGGCATAGCTAAAAAAAGTTTTGCTATCACCAAAAGTTATGCCGGATTCTGAAAAGTCTACATTCTAATGAAAAGCTAGCTACCAGTAATCCTTATTTAGTGTCACCATAATATAAGAAGGTACATACTTTTGTTACACTTTCTGCCATACCACCCCTTCTCACATCGGCAGGCATTTCCCACACAAACCCCATGTTTGCAGCGACGAGGGGTACATGGCCCTGTAATTACATAGAGATTGGGGTAAAGAATTATATGACATTACCCCTCCCAGGATCCATTATGTTCCTTTTTATAACTTCACAGTATGCTCACCCTGTTAATACAGAACTAATCTCTTTTTCAAGATGATTACATAATAAATGAACAATCTTTAAATTCTGATTACAAACTGTCACCTTCTGTTACAATTTTACAGCCACACTTAATAATATATGATTCATAATGTTATATTAATAATAATATTATTATTATTATTATTATTATTATATGAAAGTGTTTTTTGTGATAGAATATCATTGCAAGTTTTGAAGAATATTTTTCAACAAAAACATCTTCTATTAATGTTTTGATGATTTTTCATGTGTTGGTTTACCACAAATATGTTGAAATCAAATTCTCCCATCCAGATAATGTTGTTGATCTCCTAGTTCAATTAAACTGTTATCATATTAATACAGCTCACAGGAACAAAATCATGCATTTTAGAAATTCATCTAATTCCTATAAAAATTTCAATTTGCCAAGATAATAAAACTAACCTAACAAATATCTTGTCAAGAGAAATATTACTGACTTTATATTTGTAATGAAATACAACTGTTTTCAGTTACACTTATGATATATTTTACTTGTATGTGTTCAATATGTGAATATCATCATTGTAGGAAACTCAAGAACATGCAGTTAAAATAAAATAAAGTAAATGAAAAACCTGAAACACAGTTGACAGATAGAATAGTACTGATAGAATATTGTTGGCATACTTTTAACAAATACATATGCATGCATGTCTTGATGTTTGTAAGAATATTAATGTTTAAAATGCATACAATGAAAATTTATACTGTAGATAATTCATATGAACTGTGAAATAGCTACTAAGAATAGTCCAGACCAAAACATTTCAAATCATGAAAAAAAAAAAAAAAAATACAGAACTTGATAAGACAGACAGACCATCACCACTTTCTTCTAGTTATAGTTGAAATCCATATGTATGTAATAGTGAGCCACAAGTTTTTTGTTTTGTTTTTTTACATGCCACCACCACCAAACCCATCACTAAACAGACTGTACCTACTTCGGTTACACCTCCTTCCAAACCATCCACGGTCACATCGACACTGGTTTCCAACACATAATCCATGTTTGCAACTCTTTCTGCATCCCTCTGAAATTAACATCAACTAACTAAAAACTTCATAAAGCCACAGAAACAGTGACATAGCTAGTCTCTTTGATGTTGTTGACTTCAGTGGCAAATGAACATGTGCATGAGTTACATGTAAAACCATGCACAAAATTATACAGTTATTCTTTCTGAATGTGTCTAGTAATGAATGAACACTTAGACTGTATGGTATGCAAACACATTAGGTAAGAAAATCCATACCATTAATAGCTAATGTTTTGGACAATATCAGATCTCATCCATTACACAACTGTTCCTTTTAAACTTATCCAGGAAAAATTATACACATTACAAAATGTTTGAGAAATATTTAATACATGGCTACTGTTCGAGTTTTTCATCAACAACTGTTCAAACAAATTTCATAGATTATTCTGAATTATGCTACTATTTCTATGACAGTGCATGTAAATTGTATGGTCATTTCTCTCGAAATTGTCTAAAGGTAGCAATTTTAAATTTCAAGTCATCATACAAATAATGACACGACCCCAACTTTTCTGAAAGTGCTCAACAAAAAATTTACTAGTGGAAGTTACATAAAGTAATTTAACTACTTTCTTTCTTTCATATAAATATAGATACTATGGATATTCCAACACCACAGTAAAAGATATCAGTCAATGTTGAAGTTATTATGGTAGAAAACACCTTATGTGGTGAAGTATGATCTATAGATTGGCAGTTTATCAAACATTCCAACACAATAAGACTGATAATAATTTGTAAAAAATAATTATCAATTTTTACTGAAATTCTTGGCAAGTTTATTTTAGAATTTAAGTTTTTGTCTTCCAGTCTTTTAAGATAATTGTCTTACCTT